TTTTTTAAGATGTCTGAATGGAATTTTTTTTTTCTTTGGTCGCGATCAGACCGGCCCATTTGGTACCGGCCCACCGGGCATTTGCCCGTTTGCCCATATAGCCAGTCCGCCCCTGAATGAGGCCCATTAGCCCGGTATATAGAAAATGCGCGAGTACAACAAATCAGCTAACATCGCGCCTAGGCAAATAAAATACAGAAGGTGATCGGGCACATGGGAAGTGTTCTTTGAGATTCTCTTTAGTTCGTCCATCGTGATGTTCGATGATGATCACTTTCGTCATCCGGGGGCTGAGGCGAGACCAATCGTCATTGTAGGCCTGAACACAACAGACCTGTGACTTGGCAACCTATGGTCTAGCCGCTCTAGCGAGACTAACAAAAAAAAATGTACATGTAATGGTGAAGAATTCCGTGTGATTCATTTGGTAATGATTAGGTGCATGTGGTGATGATGAAAAAGCTCGATAACCTATCGTTTGAGATCCACTACAGTTGCAATAATTGCAGTAATTGCTATTTTTTACATGGTCACTGGTTTTACATTGTAGAAATGTCAGAAGCTTCCTCTAGGCGGCTCTAGGTATTTTCTCATTCTATTCAAATTTCAAACTACAGCAAGATGCCCGCATCCTAGTTGAAAAGCATTTTATTACACAAGTGTAGACCTATACAATTTTCCAGAATTCATTGTATATTTAACAAGCAAAATGCTTCTTTCTTAACACTCAGTTTAAATATAATTAGGGCAATAATTCAAAGCTTAAGAATACAATATTTATCTCTTTTTTTCCTTACATACATAGTATTGTTATTACAGAAAGCAAGCATTTCTCAGTGTGGAAAATAAAATTTCTTTTGGTGTCTTTGAGGCTGTGATGATATGAACTCAATTTATTATAAGTTTTAACCGATTTAAGGTAGGAGGCTACATCATTTGCTAAATGAAAAATCTGAAAAGCAAACTGTAGTTTTGTTGAGGAAATCCCAGAATTCAATAAATTTTCCTCAACAATAGAAACTGCTAGGTAGAATCACTTTTTATATCTACACAATTTAAAGAAATTCAATAAAGAGAAACACTAATCTAAAAAACTAGAACTCAAACAAACTAGAAAGCTCTAGTGGCCCTTTCAAAGTAGATTTAGGAAGTCTAGGTCCAGGTTTCTCAACAAAAAAAAATAATCTAAGTTTGTTGATCAGTGGTTTTAAAAAGCCTCCACTTACTAGAAACACTTCGAGCACCAGGTTACTAGACATTACATATTACACTACCGGGTATGTGTAAATCTCCATGTGAGATGGTTACATTATTTTATCTATTCACAAGTTTTCTTGTTATTTACATCCAGTTTAGAGACCCTGTGCAGACAATTCTACAAAATTATGTGACACCAATAAAGAATGGGGAGCAGACCCAAAGGAAAGCTTCTCTTTTATAGAAATGATTAGATAAGCTATCAAAGACAGGTTCATCTATGGAACAACCAGACAGACCTGTAAGCTAACTCACCCTAAGGTCAATGTTAGTCAACAATCACAAAGAGGAGTGGCTCAACCAATGGGCATCAGGAAACACAGGCAGAGCCATGTACAAAGAAATGACTATGCCTAACTAACTAGACAGTATTGTTACGATTCTCTCTCCTAATCAGGCCTTCTGTAAACACTGCTAAACACAACACAACACATCAAGAACTTGACAACAAGAGCTCCACAATATCGGGTACTTTAATAATAAGTGAATAAGTAGATAACAGCCAATACTAGACAATTGGCATCAAACACATCAACAACTAAAATGTCACTCTGTACATCACCGAACAAAACTCTACTGTCTCTCTTTCTGGACTTGTACATCAACACATGAGGACTCAACCAGGACCGATTTCATGGCGACTAACAGTCCTGGTCTCGACGCTCTCCGGTCTTGAACTGCCGCTTTCCTACACACTGTGTCCCTCGTACACGCAGGCTTTCGATCACATGACCATAACATTGGTCATATTTGCGTGTAATCATGTAATCGTAGTACTGTCCCTTGTCCATGGCCCCGCTGACCTGAATGATTCTCGTGTGTGTCAGCTGAGCCTATAGTTAACCCTTTTGCGCCGCCAATAGGGTCATAACAGTATTAACTTCCTCCCCCGCAAAGAACAATCTACAATTTTCCAACTAAGAACAGGACACACACCTCTATTAAATTACCATCTGAACAAAATAAATTCTGCACAACTTCCCCCATGCAGACCCTGCGCCCACCCTTATGAAACCTTAAACCATATCCCCTTTGAATGCCCCTTCCTAATCCACCTTAGGCAGACCCTACTACCACTACAGCCCAACATAACCAACACCCTGTACGGCAGTGCAGAACAACAGAAGAAAACCACATAATTTTTTTTCTTGGCAGTCTGCAAAAGAGCTCACAGCTCAGCAGCAATAAAGCTGGCTCGAAGAAGAAGAAATAGAAATGATTAGAGTAGTAACCCCCGCGTCCTCTTTAGCAACAGATTAATCACCAGAGATTGTAATAAAATAAGTACCAGTAACAGCTTACAAATCCTTATAAAGATCAGCTTACTTTCCAGTCAATATTTACTTTGTTTACTATGTTGTCAAAATGTTTCTTTCATTCCATTCATTCCCAAAGAAGTTGTTCCAGCTCTCAAACTCCAACTAATGTAAGAGACAATGCATTCACAAAATATCCAACAACTTCTTCAAAAACAGTTGAGCTGCAACTAGTCTACAAACTAAGGCAGCCAACAAACAAGCATTTTCTCTTTACATCTAGTAACCAACTTGTTTTTGCCTGGTCTAATCAGATAAAAGAAGGCAACGCCTATTTAATCAGAAGTGGAAATCACCTCCCATTATCTGATTAGACCAGGCAAGAAACAAGGTGTTGAAATTCTTTGTCACCAAAAATTAATCACCAGTCTGATGCCACCCAGAGCAATTAATCACCAGTCTGATGCTACCCAGAGCAATTAATCACCAGTCTGATGCTACCCAGAGAAATTAATCACCAGTCTGATGCCACCCAGAGCAATTAATCACCAGTCTGATGCTACCCAGAGCAATTAATCACCAGGATGATGCTACCTGGAGCAATTAATCACTAGTCTGATGCTACCTAGAGCAATAGGCTTCTTTCACAAACGGAACTAGTCAATAAACCAATTCATCCAGTAAAATTCTGTGTTAGCATCTTGACCCGTCTGGTAAATAAGGGGAGATAGATTGTTGTATTGAAAACTAAGGATCTTCCAAAGAAAAGCTGGCTAGACAAAATAAAAGAAAGTTTGTTTTGTTTTTTATTTTAGGCACATCGGCACAATTCAGGCCATGTCGTGCCTGCAAATAAAAGAATGGACCAGCCTCTGTCTTGATAGCTGGCTAAGAACAGCAGCTGATTAAGAAAAGTAGAGAGATTTGGTTACGCATAATGTAGCAGCATAATGTAGCAGCATAATGTAGCAGCAGCCCTACATCAAGAAAATCAAGGGACAGATGGTGATGAAAATATATTTTTAAAAAAACAAGTCACAAAACAAGCAAAAAAAAAAAAAAACACCACACACAAAAGAAAAATAATGTTTAAATCCTTATTTATATGTACACATGTTTATTATAAAATTATTTGCAATGATCAGCTGCCCCACTTCGACCAATTTATGAAATAAATAGTTTGGTGTTTAGATCAAATTCATTCTGTTAAACAATTTGGTGTTCAGGCTTTTCATTGATGTACATTCATAGCTTGCAAGATTTCATAATGCAATTGAAGGTCACAAGGGCATAACTAGTAACAGAAGAAGAACAGTACACAAACTTAAAATTAGAATGTTAGTACTTAGGCAAGTGCAGTCATTTGAGAAAAAACAACAACATTTCCTTCCCTTGATCAGCAAAGTTATTTAACACTTGCTTTCGCAAACATGCAAGTAAATAATTGCATTAACAAATTAATGTAATTTTTTAAATGCAATAGGAAAAAAAAATTCGGCTATTAATTTTCCAATAGCCACTACGGAAGAGTATGGCCGCTGGAAAAAAAGAAAAAAAGACAAGCAAGTAAATAAGCAAATAAAAAAATAAAGACGTTTCTTTGGGATCTGAGTCAATCAGGGAAAAAAAAAGGATCAACATTGAAACTTAAAAACAAAACTTTGACAGTAATGAGGTGACATAAACTAATTAGACATCATGCTTCAATCCAATAGTCACAGTCCATTGCAAAGCAAAATTTTGAGCACACATTTGAACTCTTCAAAATCATGATGCATTGTTGAAGAGTTCAACACAAGTTTTCAATGCATAATCTTATTTCTTTGTTAAAGTATAAGCGAACTGGTGGCCAATGATCAGAGCCATATTCAAATTATTAATAAAAGGAAGATTACTTTGACCAAGCTAAAAAATTAGTCATGGCAATTACAAATTACAGTCGAATCTGGTTAATTGGACCAGTGGGTCATTAGGACCAAAATGATAGCATCCAATGTGGTCAGATAAACCGGAGTTGACTATAATTGGATTCAAAGGGTAAGAAACTAGTTTGAAGCAGAGTGTTACTGGAAAATACATCATAGTAACATGCATATATCTCTGTTAAGTAACATACTCCAAGTTTCCCATCAGCCAGTATTACATTAAGTTACAAGAGACCAATGTTAAGACTGTACTTAGGAGTTTCTAAGGAGGACAACCACTCTTCCACTTTTAATACAAGAGAGACAACCAGACAATAAAAAAGATTGTTCAGCCTAACTTCAGTTGTCAAACATTTACAACCATAACAGATTTTCAATAGGATATTTCTTGACAAGAACAAATAACTCATAATTGGAGCTTTCCATTTTTTAAAAAATGCTCATAGGTTTATACTTCAAGTATAATTTTCTACAATTCATTGAAGCATCAATAAAACAAAAAGAGTTTCTCATCTACCTAAAAGATTTCTTTCCATTAAGCTCTAAGTAAAAGCTGTTTAAAAAATAAAGTCCCCCATAGACAACAAAAAAAAAAAGGCCCCATTTATAAATACACATTGTTCTTATCACAAATACAGTGTCCATATTCATTTTTTTTTTAAATTAAGAAAGTAGCTTATGCGGGGAAGATTGACCTACTTATTTAAACAGCAGAATGGTGGATCCTGTTGGCACCTTTTTATTTATTGCATGAAACAGAAAAAAGTTATGATAAAAATGACAGAAGAAAAAAAAAACAGACTTACAAACACAAATTTTTTTTAGTCACTAAAACCACACTTATAACATTCTGTGATTTCATTTGAAGCTCTATGTCAAATCTATTGCAAAGAATGAAACCCATGAAAACAATATCAATAAATAATTAGTGTGTTCATTCTCTCCCTGTATCATTTGGTCAACACACAGTGTAGGATTCATTTAATCATCATCTTGCAACAGTGATCCATTCAAAAGTCCGTGTCCGGAGGCCATAGCACCCCCATTGGTCTGAGTTGTCTCATCCGAATCTAGCTCATCGTCATTCTGGCCGTTGACAAGAAGATCCATCTGTGGATGACCCGTGCTTTTGTTGGCCTGTTTATTCCTGGCCACAAAGACTTCTTGGATGGCAGCTCGGAAACATTTGAAGTTGTACTGAATTATACCTGCCAAGAAATTAAAATGCTTTTTTGAAAACAAATCAACAAATAAAATGTTCTTTATTAGTAGTGCTAAAACTTAAGTTTGGTAAAGAATAGATCACCTGTTTTTGTGGCTACTATTTATTACCTGTTTTTGTGACATCAAGTCAGCAAGTTAGAGCCTGGGTACGAATGAGAATATTTGGGCCTCTTCCGCCCCCCCCCCCCCTCAATCAATATTAATTAGCAGCTCTACTTTTGTATTTTGTGGTTGCATGTAGATCCATTTCCTAAAAACAGTCCCCCAAACTTTCACTTCATTGTAAAAAACAAAGTGTAAAGGCTTATAAATATAATTTTTTTATGCACGATATGAGTTTCCAACATCCTGCATCCCCTTAATTTAAATGCCATAGTTACATTGTAGGCACTGCCTTTCAGCACCCACTCACTAATTTCCTTTATTGGGGTAACTAAAAACTTGTAGACATTTACCATCACATACCATTAGTTGTTTCAGTAAAGTTGTCTGCCCTTTTCACTAATGGAAGGGAATGCAAAAAAAAAGATAATCAGGAATTCAACTAAATGACTCTAGTCACTGACCTCTATTTTCACATCCATCTTCACGGAGTATACACACCAGGGCCAAGTGTTTGTTCACCTCTCTCAGAAACAAGACCGTCCCTGAGTTGAGTTTAATGAATGAGGCGGACTCGTTATCAAATGCACCATCATCTCTAGCACTGAGGAAACGAACATTAATAAGTAGGCTGATCAGATCGAGATTCACATAGGATTTACAATGACTTATGGTATCATGTTTTTTTTTATAAACAAATTCTGGGTTTTAGATTTGAGACTTTGGACCAATGACATAATCTAATCAAAATCAATGCTTTAGGTTAAAACTTGTATATCAGGTAATAATGACTGCAGATATATGAACTAATGAAACGGCTTACTATGACTTTAAAAAGCAAACTAACTGTCCTAGCTAAAATTATGGATGCTGGATACTTTTTTTTTTTTAGTTGTCTAACTCAATTCAAAATTGTGTTATTTCTAGGTATGTTTTCTACAACATTTCGAGTAGATTAAAAAATCAAGAATAAATAGGCTTAATATCTTTAGAAAAAGAATAATCCAATTCATAATTCATTATAATTATCATAGCATAGTCTAATTTTCCTCAAAAGCAATACTGTCCTGTGGTGTGCATGTTCCAATTTTTAAAAGGAAGGGGTAGGTAGGGATAAGGTCATCATAAAGGTTATTTAAAAGAACAACAGAATGATACAACACAAGCATTCTGAACCAAGGGATTTTTAACCATTTGTTTTGAGGATTGGGTGTCATAACCAAATTTGAAAAATAAACAATAATGAGCTTCCCCAAAAGGCGATACATATTTTATAATTTATAATAGGATATCAAAAGGGATATATTGGCTATAAGAGGAGATATAACACACAGGATGGTAAACAAGAAAATAGAGATATGCGCAGAGAGGTTTGTTTGCATCAGAGCCACAAAAAAAATGAAGTTGTTTCCTTTCATTCTGAAATAATTTCTAAGTTTAAAAAATATCCTTTAGGCTAAACAATATGGATACAAACACTAAAAATGGTATTGAAAAAAAAAGGGGGGGGAGGTAAAGATTGGAATCTAAGAAAAAAAATTTACCGAGATAGGAATATGTCACGAACTCTGTGATTGAAGAAATTATTTACATTGAAGCTAATGTTTACATTATGTTTATTTTTTTTAAACGAATCATAGAAGACTTTGTTTAGAAAGGTATACAGAGTTGAGATTTTATAGCTAATATTTTAAATGATGAATGAAATTAATATATTTTTATTTAGCTCCACAAAATTCTACCTTTAAAAAAATACCTTTCCAGTTAAAGGAAAGGTTATAAGTTCTTATCTTATATAATACAGATGTTACTTCAAAAAAGAAGATGATTTACGTCCTACGCGTCATGCATTCAGTCATGCGTATTAACCAATGACCTAAATTAAAGTCGGCCTATTACAAGCATCTCAATAGGCTTCCCTCGATTCCTACCAAAAAAAAAAAATCTTTACAAAGCAACGAATGCCATCACTTACCCATAAATACATGACATATCAATGACAACATCTATCATGTCACAACACAGCTCATAACACTGCATATCTACAGGTGAGCTATCCGTGGCAATGTAGATCTTACTCACCACATCAAATAGAAAGGCTTTCTCAATCTTGGAATTCTGGAAATGTATGAATAAGTTTCTTATCCCATTGATTCACATCAGCTGGTGAGCTAAAAGGATACTTCTAAATAATGGCTTAGCTACTCACAGATATGACAATATCCAGTAAATTTTCCAGCACGGCTAGCTGAGGAATTAATTTCTGCACTACTTTACTGAAGGCTTCAAAAATGGAGTGGTCATAGATACTGGTCAAATGGAAGCTAGAACAAAAAAGAACAATGTTTTCAAGCAAAGTAAACACCATTGATTTCTTTATTTATAAGAGCTGGATATTATCTTTACCTGAGGTGAATGTTATCCATACCAGCATCGTTCAGCTCATCCGTGGCCCTTTGAAGTATGTCACGCTGCGTTTCAATTTTGTTGTCGTCCGAGAGACCATCCACCTTGTGAATGAAGACCTCAAACTTGATGCTTTCATTGATCTTATGAGCTCTAGTGACAGCCATTTGCAGCCTGGACAGAGCCTCCATGTAGTCATCCTGAAATACAAATAATAACATACAAAAATAATAACATACAAGGGATTAATAGTGGTTAATTTAATAATACAATTTAATAATACAGTTTAATAATACAATTTAATAATACAATTTAATAATACAATTTAATAATACAGTTTAATAATACAATTTAATAATACAATTTAATAATACAATTTAATAATACAATTTAATAATACAATTTAATAATACAATTTAATAATACAATTTAATAATATAATTGCTATTGTTATAATTCAGAGCATTTAATTTTATGTTTCTTTTTCTTTGCCTCAATGATGTCTGAAAGAGGAACAAATGTCTGTGGACAGTGTATTTACCTGAGCATCAATGACAAATATTAAAGCACCACAACCTCCAAAAATATACTCCGAGTCAAAGGCAGCATCGAAGAAATCTATCTGACCTGGAATGTCCCAGATTTGAAACTGGACAAAAGATGAGTTTGAAATATCTGGAGAGGATAAAGAATTTACATTTTTGTCACAACATAAGTATTTAACATTTGAAAGTCATGCCACCACAGCAAGTATTAAACAAGTATGTCAGGGCACAGGCATAATGAATGATGTGCAAGTGGTGCAAGCCTGGAGGTCATATGATGCATCAGGGGGTCAAACGATGCATCAGGTGGTGATTGGTCTGGTTCTATCTGTGTGCATTTAAAAAGTCCATGTCCCATCAGCTCTCTGTAATTATTTTCCACGTTGCGACTGAATTATTTGTTTTGCTAATATGCATTTCACTACCATGTTAATAACTTGTGTGTTTTGTTATCAGAAAATGTTATATTTGGTATTGAATTGAAGGGGAATGCACACCCTTTTTACATAACACAAATTGATGTTTATAAAACCTAAAAAAAACATAATTGTGGATAATAGGAATTAAAAATAAAAAACTTACTGACGGTGGAAAAGTCTCTTTATAACTAGATCTAGGCAATATTTTATGATCCAAATTGAACAAAAAGCATTTTTTATGATAGCTATTCACAGTTTCAGGAAACTTAAAATATAGCATATATAAAACATTTAAATTGTCTTAAGCTCACTATCTCATGTAACAACCATATGAAAAATTAATATAGAAAAATAGAGCCTTTTTTAGCCCCCACTTTTGGTAAAAACACATTGAAAATGAAAAAATAATCTGTATTTTTTTTCCAAAGGGAAACTATTCTAGAATAAATTATAAGCATTAAAAACATTTTTGGAGGAAAAAACAACAGATTTTGTTTTTTAGCAGCGATGATAATACCGCCGAATATGGTGCAAGAATGGGGTAAAATCAACGATGTTATCGTTGATTAGAAGAAAAAAAAGGTTAAGCACCTATCTATCAACAGTCAGTAATTTTTTAAATGCTGGCACACCATGGGCATCCTGAAGAGGGTGAGAAAGAATACAAATTGAGGCAATGTCTTGGAGTTGGCGATACTAACCAGGTAATGGGAGAGAGGGAGACAACAAAGAAAAGATTTTCTATGGCAAAGACAACGAATTTTGTTTTGAAAGATATTAAAATCTATATTTGATAACAGAATATGCAAATATTTATAATGTTATGTTACATATCTAGGCATTGTTACCTATTTACTATTGTTTTTTTTTTTTTTCTTTGTTTTTTTTCTTGACCTGTTGCGGTCGAGAGATGGGTAGAAAATTCCCGAGGCGGTCTGCCCCTTTGTGTAATAAGTTTTTTTTTTATTTTATTTTATTAGCGCGGCGAGTCAAGCAACACGGACAGTGTGACCGGTCCTTGACCTATGTGTGTACCTCTGGGTAAAAAGAGGGTGTTTATTTTTCCGTCTCTTTAGAGAAGGTTCTAGCTCTGTCTGGTTGA